CTGCAATGTCAACACTTAGGGCAGGAAAGGGCTTCAAGGGGGTTTTAGTCCGTAACATATTACCAGAGAACTCTCAACAGAGGAAAACTCTGGGCAGGTAGGATGCCCTTTCCAAAAACATGTGAAACCACATCAGATGTCCTGGCTGAGGAGGACATCTACAGAGAAAGATTTTCTCGCCAAGAGCAGGAGGTGTCAGGCAGCCATGGAGATAAGAGCTGTAGGCTTTGGGATCTCCAGGGAGTGGTTAGCTGAGACCAAAGGAGAAAGACAGGGGGACTTGGAAGCTCTGAGGAGGCTTCATCCTCTGAGAGAGGGCGGGCCAAGCTGCTGGTCAAGTAGCAACCCTTAAAGCTTTGCTGGGTCTCTTTAAGGGTTTCCAACGTGGGGAGCTCATTGTTTCTGCTAAGAAGGCTTTTCCTTCTGTACTCTTTCCCCCAAGTGTTTCCTCTGTACACACTGTTTCTCAGCAATCCAAGTGAGCAGCAGAGAAGAGGTCAGCACAATGCAAGCGGACACTTGGGTCCCAAGCTCAGAACAGTCCCGCCAAAACCTGGTCCCTCCCTTCCATCGAATAGGTTTTCATTCACTCGGTCTCTGCAAGGACAGTGTCGAGCTCTGTAAGTACTAACAGATGTTTACCAGGCCCCACCTTTTCTTTAGAACACTACCTTCCTCCATACGCAGGAACAGAGCATCACCACATCCTCTAGGGGAAGCTAGCTTAGGTCATTATGATTTCATGTCTGTAAAACGTCGAGGGCCTGACCTCCAAAAAGACAAAAAGCCACCATCTCAGCATTTTCGTCTTTCTAGTCTCAAAACATAGAACAGAACAATAGGAGGGGTTTAGACAGAGAAGTTTTAATGGTTACTTTTTCTTATCACTCCAAATAGATAAGCATCGTAAACCTGAGAAAGATTGAAGAGGATGCCGAGGGTAAGACAGAGACTGTATCTTAACACTTGACTTTAACACTAAGAACAAAATACTAACTAAAAATATAAGCAGAGATGTGAGGATGACAGAATTTTTCATGTGCTTTATTTAGTTCATATTCTACTTCAGTGAGTACGCCCTTTGTTCTAACAAACATTTGGTGAGTGTGTACTCAGCCCCAACTACTGCCCTACACCTCCCAAATTTATTTCTCTGAAAAGCCGTCATGATAAATTCCAGAATTTGCGAACCATACTCTGTCTCTTCAACAATACTCTCTTTCTTAATGAACATAGGGAGGGGCCTTCTAGGATTATTACCACCCTCAACAGGTAGGAGCAAACTTCCTGTGGGGCTCGGCTTTGAAGCGGAAGGGAAACGCCACAATACGGCCTTAACAACTTTGAGAGAGCACTGACCGAGCTCCAGAAATGTCGGCAGTTCAGACCACATTGTCCTGCTGTTCTCTATGTTTCCTGAGTTGTTAGTTGGACTCAAATTTAAGGAGAGGCCCCTCCTCGTGAAGTCAGAGCTGCCAAGGCCGCTGGGGAGTTACCTAGCCAAGCAGAGCCAAAGCCTTATCTCAAAGGATAAGGTGGAGTTTGCTCTTTTCCCCTATTGCGAAATATGAGAATATTAAGTAATCTGTTTATATCACTCAGATCCAAAATCCAAGCTGACTTTATTTTTTGAGACAGGGTCTTCGGGCTACCCTTGAACTCCTGGTCCTCCTGCCTCAGTTTCTCGAGTGCTGGGATCACAGATACACACCACTACGCCCATCTCCAACCTGTCTTTTTTTTTATACATAAATCCATACAGTTTCTTCTGGAACAAAAGGGTACCTCAAACTTGGCTTAACTGACAAAACCTGGCAATTTCCCCTGTCGATGTTTGAAATCAGACCCAAGTAGTCGTTTCCCATGGTCCAGGTTGTTCTGGCAACATCAGTTTATTATCCACTGACTATTCCCATACAGAAGCGCCCAAGGACAAGCTTAGGCTTTGGGGTGCAGAGCAGACATCCGTGTCCGAATCACAGAACTCTTTCTACAACTTGGCACTCAATATGAACTACAAACGGTACATGGTGTAAGGTAGCCAGTGAACGAACAGCTGTAAAAGCTTCCGTTTGTTTTCAAGACGAAAACCGGCGCTGGGTTTCCTTTTCAGGACGCTAGGTCTAAGCCATTAACACATGAGGGACATTTGATGAAAACACGGTTTAAGTCTTTAAATATATGTGCCAATGATAAGTTCATTATTTAAACAGAAGATGACTCCTCTCCTGACTCACTCTGCTCCTGGTGACTGCTGCAGCTGACAGCTCTCTACGAAGATTTTAAGTGGAGGATTAAGTGGTATGCCGCCCACTCTGAGTGTAAAGTTGAGCAAGGTGAACTGGGGGCATGGTCCTGAAGCCCAGGCCATCACTAGAAGAAGCTAGAAGAGAACGTAGAATTCTTCTGGCCTCCCTGAACTGAATCCAGGGGATTCTAAGAACCACTTTTACTGTACGAGCATGGCAAAGTAACTACAGCTACTGGACTTCAGTTGTTAGAACTTACAAAAATTACTAAGGAGCAAAGTTTTAAACTTACTTTTGCAAGGTGTGTTGTAATATAGTATGCTTAGTCATGCTCATCTCTGAAGGAAAACAAATAGCTCTGGGGTCAAAGGAAACATGACTGATAATTTGCAGAAAGGTGTTCCAGCTCCTTGTCCTTTGAACTCTCCATCCTTAAGCCCCAGTAGTAACTTCTGCTTAAGTGTTCCAAAGACTCAGCTATTCAGGAAGTAACATGTTGTTCCCTATCAGTAAAGCCTTATTCTATGAAATTACAACTATGGGATATACTCCCAACCTTGAGAAATATATCCCCATACCATGACAACCGCCATCCCTTTCCTTACTCGTTCACAGGACCCCCAGATGTACCATGAAACCTCTGCCCATTGCACTGTCTCTGTCCTCTCACTCAGAGCTGGAACTACATTTGTATCCATCCCCCCAATCCTATTTGATGAAGCCTGCTGAGAGATAAGAGGGCCTGGTCGAAGGGTATTGCAAGAGAAAGAACCAGTTCCTAAACTTCCAACCCTTCTACTGTGAGAGGGCCTCCACTGTGGAAGGCCACACCAAGTCCACCATCAGCACACACCATCGTAAAAGGCCTAGCATTCGACAACAGACAACACAACATGCCTCGGAATAAGAGGGATCCAATCACGCACCAGCCCACAACACAAAAGAGTGCCTGCCGTGCGTCCGTCCTATGAGAATGGAGGGCACAAGCCTCACTGACATAAAACCAGCACACTTCTTGCCCTGAACCAGGCACCTCTGTGACCTTTGGTTGCCTTTTCTGCTTCTCTCCTATAGAAAGCTGGCTATAGAATTATGTGTTGTTTATATTATGATTTATACTGTGATCAATAGATTAATTTTCTGCTTGAAAATCCAGGAAATAATTTAGGAAATAGACTTCTCAGGCAAAGCTTTAAGAACCCGAATACTGCAAAGCCGTCTACTGCAGTACTGTTGATCCAAAGCACCTTCAGGATTTACATCTCCTGAGAACTCAGCCAGGACCTCGTTCCCAAAGGAGAACGGGTGCACACCACACATTCCCATTCCCAAGGCTTTTCCACTTTAACTGTTCTGAAATGACAGCATGTTCATCAAACTACATTCTCTCTTAGGCTCTCACTGAATGACTTTATCTCCTCTTTTACGGTCTGGGATAACACCAGCTGCAATGAAGTTTCAGCAAAAAAAGAAAAGTTTGACTCTCTTGCCCTCTCCAACTTGATGTTTTCCCGTGGTCACATTGTAAAAATGCAAGGAACCCATAAAACAATATGAAAGAAAATACTGTAGTTTCCGTTTTCCTAAGAAACTTAGGCACCAAATTCTTGTTAGTCGGTCTCAAGTGCTTAAGAATGGGAAGCCAGGGGGTGGGGCAGAGGGGGCACAAGCCGTTCAGTGGGCAGAAGAAAGTCACTACAGAAACCACACAGCGACCGCCATCCTGGGCCGGCTCCTGACAGCACAGGAGCGTGAACCCCCTCGACCTGGGGCTCCAGCTGCTTGGAGCACTGCTCCAGAACACACACTATCCACCTTCTTCTTCTCAGCCTCACCGTCCTCTTTGCCAAGGCTTTGGGGGGCACGAGCTACCCAAAGGGACCAGTCAGTCCACAGCCTCCAAAACAGCCTCTCGAGTGACATTCATGGGAGAAACTGATCACAACGTTCATCTACGAGTTTCCTATGATGCTAGCTATAACTCTGACTGCCACAGGAAATCTCACACTAAACACCAGTAGTAGGCTACAGAGCCTTCACACTGTGGCTTCAATACATAATGAATGAAGCCTGCCTTCTCACCACCAATCAAGTGGTACTCCCCTGACGTTATTGATAAGTGGGGGGAGAGGGGGCTGAAGGAAGCACATGCTGAGGTATGTTGGCAGCAGATAACATTGAACTCTCCTTCGGTTTTAAGACTCAAAACATTAGTGAGAGAGGTTCCAAGGGGTTTTTAAATCGAAAACGCTTGCCTGGGTTTTCTGAGCGAAGACTCGCCCATGACAACTGTTCTCGCCACCCTCGACTTAGACCTGTTTTCCCTACAACAATGATTATCGCTCTCCCTTCGGCAACATCTGTTTCTCTCCCCTGTAAGCTACCAGAAAAGGAACAGTAGAAGGTGCTAACAAATACATTCTTATAGATCTGGCAGCTCCCTGGAATTATCTACTAAAACATTCATTTCTGGTGGAGCGGCAAAGCTAACACAAGCACCTACTTCAAAATAACACCTTTTAAAAAAAATGTCACGGGTATAGAAAGCTCTGCTGATTTCAATTCTGAGGGTCCGATGAAGTTCTTAGAATTACTTCCTGGGCTGAAGGAAAATGTAGAGATCAAAGAAACTCCACCAGCAAGATCTGGTGTTTAACTTTTCAAAATATAACATGCATAAGATACACGAATGCCATTATCTACAGAGTACATGGATATAAACACACACTTTCCCAGACCCAAAGGGCTCACCTTCTACTTCTTCTTCATCACACACATGTTTAAGGAACGAAGCCCCTCTGTCCAGGACAGCTTCATCCTCCATCCTATAGTAATAGAAAAGAAAAAAAGAATGCTCAGACTTCTCCTGAAGTGAGCCACTTGAAGCAGCCCAGCTTCTGGGCAGGTTAACCTGCAAGCTGTTGTTCATGTTTGCAGGGCAGAGTCCCTCTTCCTTTGGTGGCTGTCACTCCTTCACGCAGCTCTTCTCATCTGGTGCTTGAGAATGTGCTGGCCCCACATAGCTTCAGTTCTAACCTTGAGAGGGCAACCACATGGACAGGCAATAGAAAATAATCCCAATCTTGTAGGCTGGATGTTGAGGAAGAGTGTCCCTTTGGGGAGTTGCAGAAAGGAAAAACAGAGATGAAAGCAAAAGAAGAAAAAAAAAATACCAAGAGAGGAAGATTGATGTTTCTGGAGTGTTCGTGATGATCGTTTGTGGAAATCCAATCTCAGTGCTTAGCTCTCCAAACAGCCACTGCACAGAATGTATACCCTCATAGGCGCACAGGCACACCCACCCACACACAGAGCGACAGGGAGTTAGGCTAATGCACAGTGGGAGCCGAGCTTGCAACCAGCCTCCTAATACCAGCCCAGTACTCCGTGTTGAGTGGCAAGCGTTGAGTCACATGTTGGCCTCACGGAAATCTGACATCTGAGGATTATCCGGCACCAGGGCTTCAGCAATAGGCACACAGACATGCCACCCCGTCCCCCCGTTTCCACGCTCTTCTCACGCGTCTCTCTGCATGCTAGATGCACTGTTAACTCTCCTCGGAAGGGCACGGAGGTCTTCATTTTGTAACCACGCTATGCTGTCCTCCTGTCTCCTTACATAATAGGATCTACTCTGCAATTTCATATGCTAAATAAGACCTCAGAATCTATCCAAGGAACGACAGCGTGGTGGGTTTTTTTTTTTTTTCAGTCTCCCAGCGCCAAACATGTTTCTAGTTTACAGAATGAGTGAAGCTTTATCCCTTTCCTCTGAGGCTCCTTCTCATTGCATTAACTTTCGTATACAGAATTCCATGAGCTCTATTTATAGTGGGAGCAGAGAGAAATCCTGAGCTGCTCAGATGCTGCCTGTGAAGTACGGGTCTTGTAACAAAGAACTTTCTCTGGGGACAGCTGCTCTATGTCACCTCATACATGAGCCTTGCCAGAGAACCACATGCTCGCTCCGTACTCCAGCCACCCGACTGTGTGCTCAAGCCCTGGATATGGTCGAGTCTGTTTTCCACACCGTCTGTATAACTTATCCGGGTGCTTCTCATGTTTGCTATAGTCTAGGCAGACGTGCACAGAACTCCGTTTTTCCCTTCCTAGTTTAGAAATATATCTCCCTTACCAAGCCATCGCCTTTACATAAAAGGTCAGAAGCAAAACACAAACATCTAATTCGACTGCTTAGTAGTGATGCCACCTGGAGCAAAATACTTCACTCTTTTGAGCCACAGGGTCTTTTTTTTTTATTTTCTTGTATAAAATTAGAGTGATCAAATCAATTTCACAATGATTCATCACAATACTACAATCAATTCTGCATTGAGTGCTTTGAGATTTGAACGAGGCGGCGAACTTCAGAGCATTTGGCATCAGACTTAGCACACATTGTTTTCTAAGTGTGGTCTCCTAGGCCAATGAGGGATCTCAGCAGGTAAAGGCGCTTGCCTCCAAGCCTGATGACCTGAGTTTGATCCCTAGAGCCCACATGGTAAAAGGAAACTGATCCCACACACGTGCTGTGGCATGCAGAGAGAGAGGGACAGACAGACAGACAGACAGACAAACAGAGAGAGAGAGAGAGAGAGAGAGAGAGAGAGAGAGAGAGAGAGAGAACACATATACACAAATAATAACATTCTACAATGAAATAAAGGGGTTTTTTTCTTTCCTCGTTTTCCCCTTTACCAGCCCTGGGGAACAATGTCACTAAGAAACCCACTGCTAGTCTTTGGTCATGCCACCCTGACTGCACCCCGTCTTGTCTGATCTCAGAGGCAGGGTTGGGCCTGGCTAGTACTTGGATGGGAAGAAACATACAACTTTCGGACCCTTCAAGAGTCTTCTTTAGGGGATATGAGCCTCATACATGATGGTGCCTCCTGACACAGGTCAAAATACTCTCCTTTTCTGCACTCAAACTAAATGTATAAAACAAGATATGGGTCAGTCTGCAGGATTATAGTGGGAATGAAAAACCTTAAAGACTAAGACGCCAAGCCATTTGCCAATCTCGCTGAGCCTTAGGTTCTCAGGAAGATTAAATGATACAGCCTTACTCGTGGGTTCAGCAAATATTTAATTACTGCTTGCTATATTCCTGCTACTCTTCGGCGGGAGGGGGACAGATCCACAAATGCGACAAGAAAGTTCCTCGAAAAAAACTAACCATGAACAAGCAAGATAGCCTTGGAAGAGCAGCCCTGGGGGCTTTGCGGACAGGAAAAGGCACAGAGGGCTATCTAGTGTGGTGCTGAGCCCAGCAAAGGGAAAAGCAAGTGACGGGCCCTCAGTAGGGATGTTTAGCACCCACAAGAACAGCTGTAAGGTCTAGACAGCAAAGGAAGCAACTGTCCTGATGACATAGGGAGAATCAGGTCACGCAAGCCAGAAGGACTCAGCACTGAAGTCAGCATTGTTTTCCCTTCTTAAAGGATCCAGCTACCTGTGGTGTGGAAAACAGACGGTGAGGGAACAAGAGAAACTCGCAAGCTACCTCCCGCACCGTGGGGACCGAGTGAGAAACAAGCCGTTGAGAAGGCATGGAGAGGTCGGTTTTGTACACTTTACGGTGAAGATGCGCGTCGTGTGTGTAAAAAGTTGCTAGTATGACCACAGCTGCCTGAGTCTGGGACTAGGGACTTGCAGCAGCTGCGAAACTATGGCAAACACACACACACACACACACACACACACACACACACACACACATCAAGCTGGGGCTGGAGTTATTACCAGGTGCACTCATGCAGGGAGGAAGAATAGGTACAAGGGAGTGGACTTGAGACCACCTGCTAAAACACGCCGACAGCCCCAAGTCAGGCAGGGACGCAAGGGTAAACAGGTGTAAGTGATAGCAGAGAAGTCAGAGAGAGCAGAGAACCCACCCCCAAAAAAGCTGAGAAAGACGTATGGGAACGCAAAAGCTGGATTAAGCAATATGGAAAATGCAACTGTCTATACCAAAGGCGCTTGAAATGGGCCACGGTTAGTGTTGGGGGAGACTGGAACAGAGAAGGTGCCCGCCTGCCCCCTTTCCTCCTTCCTTCCTTCCTCCCTCCGGTGAGGAGGAAGTCAATATTAACTGAGGATCTACTGTACAGCCTGCCCGCACACTTCGAAGTGCCAGGGATACACAATCACACCTAGCGTCTCAGAGACTTGCCTTGGAGGTCAGGTGCTGTCCAAAGTGCAAGGAGCCATCAGTTACCTAGCATGTGTACACACAGATAAGGATGATAGCTTCGTGAGGATATTTTCTTCCAACTCCTCAGAAACACAGCGAGATCCCAGAGAGCTACCTTACAGCACGTACCCTAACTGTGCACCGTTCCTTTGGCAAACGGAATAGCTTGTCCCACGTCTCTTCTCGGAACTGACCCCTGGCCACTCAGCATGCTGGATTCAACACAACTAAACGCAGACTTCGCTTGGTACCCTCTCACCCATCGGGCGGGCCATAAAATATTTTAATATTTTGTTGTCTCCTTATACGTTTTCTAAAGAAAGCATTTAACCTCAAAATCTAAGCCTTTTCCAAAACTGCATGCCACAAGCAAAAAAAAAAAAAAAAAAAAAAAAAGCAAGAAAGCCAGAGATGACTGGAAAGGAAGAAAAGTCAGTGCACAAGCCCTCTGGCCAGGCTGAGACAACTGCCCAGCCCCACTGTCTGAGTAGGGAGTGGGGGTCATGATTGGTGCATTCCTTGGCTCTTTGATGCATAGCTCGCATTCCCTTCAAAACTATACATAGCAAGTCATCAGAACTTCGTCCTTCCTGATGGATCATGCAGAGAGCTTGAAAACAGACCTCTTCTCCACGGAAAAGGGGCTAGTAAAACAAAGCAAAAACACCAAATGTGGCAGCCTTTACCCTGCCCTAAGAGCAAAGTCATCCTAGTGAACGTGGCCTTCTACACAGACCAGGAAGATCCCCCACTTCCCATCTTTACATGACAAGTATCAGTTCCTCAGCCGTACGTCCTCTTAGCAGTTGCTGGCTATTATTAGTAAGACAGAGATACCATGTAAAGTGGCTGACCCAACCATTTCCCCTCTATAAATCAGTTGGAAGAAATTAACTCATCTAGTCCCTAATCAGGCCCCCAAATCCATCCTCAAAACGTCCTCTGCGCGTGCCCTGCATGTTTGCTGAAAACGAGCAGGAAGTGTGCTTCCACGCAGCTTCAGCACGGCTCACGTCGCTAGAATGTGGCAGAATTCAGACCTGACTTGGACGCGTCTCACCAGTATCAGGGGGTTAAGAGTGGCAGCAGCCAGTGTAAAATCCACTTCGGGTCAGTACTGCCTTCCTTCAACCTGGGCTCTGATCGGAGAAGTTATACCCCTTCTATACAAGTCCAGACCCACGGGGGGCGGAGGGGGGTCTCATTCTCGGTTATTCTGGGATAGCAAAATGATTTAACTAGAACACACATCAAATTGTCTGCCAGACGGGCAGGCTCTCACCAGCCGGTCCTAATCACTGAGCAGGCCTGTGAGGGTGACTTAAGTCCGGCACGAGAAACATTTGTGCAAAACTGTCAGCCGCTGGAGCACCCATCCACATTCCAGCCCTCTGAGATCCCACCCCCCTGAGCCTGCGCCAACTGCCAACGTGCTGACCAGCTAGTACTCACAGCGCAAGCAGCTGCCACTCAGCCAGTCAGCAAGTGGCAGGCCGCCAGCACCCAAGTTTCAAGAGCACCAGCCTGCTGGTCACAGGGCTGCTAAAGGTTGAAGGTCCTCGGGTAGGCTAGCCTTTAGATTCGCCTCACTTGCCCTCCTGCCTCCCTCTGCCATCCTTCTCTGCCGCC